TTCACGAATTCCAATCAGTTGCTTAGCATGAAAGCATAAAATTCCAGCAGCATAAGAGGAGTAAATGGAAAGCATATGCGCATTACATACCACTGAATAAGATGAAAGAGACGAGCTAAACGAGTGTAAGCGGGTCTTCTCCATCATGCCCTGGACACGAACAAATGAAAATTAGAATAACTTACTTGAGAAAAAGTTAGCAAAGAGACTGAAGGGTGCAGATCATGTACCGAATGTAGTAAACCTCCATGCACCTTAAACTGGCCATAGTGGCCACAGATTCGCATTTCACAGGGCGAAAGCAAGGAAGTTGCAGCTGCCATTGTCTCAACATATAAAAAGAAACGGCACAATACCGAGTGCACATCAACTGGAACTCCCCCTGGAACCCACCATTTTCATAAGAAATAGATACACAACCAAAAAATCATGTGAAGTCAAACAGGCAGGCAGACATAATTAAATAACATTTATCCCAGAATAATGATCAAGAAAAAAAATAAAGATTCCATTTTTAGCAACCCAAACAATTAATATGCACAACTCTACAATAGTAAAATTTTCTTTTCTTTTTTTTTTAACTCTATAATAACAGTTCATCAAAGACAAAAACTAAATTCTCTAATTATAGAAAACACTTTCGCTGGACAACGATTTAGAGCAAATCCATTTTTGTTATAAAGTTACACATAAATTAACAAATAAAAGTATCCAAGTGCATAACATGAAGAATTCTCCCTCGTCCTTAAGCTTTGACAATCTCTCTCTCTCTCTCTCTCTCTCTTCTTTTTTTTTTTTGGGAGGGGGGTGGTGGGGTTCCAAGGGAATAGAAAAAGGTTGCATTATTTACTTATTTAGCAGTATTTTCTTAGCTATCCTCTGCTACATTTAGCTGCCAAATCAAACAAAATAACAGAAAAGGTCATCAAAATAATCTCCATCCTTCGGTGCTTATTATATTCCCAGTTCCTCGTCCTCCAAATTTCAGCTCAACCTTAACTGTACAGCCACAATCCGAACAAAATTTATCACAATTAAAGAACCCCAAGATTCAAAATGCAGAGCATCTTAACTAATTAACCCTGCATATATCAACAAGGACGACGAAATTTTAAATAAAATAAAATAAAAAAAGAAAAAGGAAAAGGAAAACTAATGGCTTCTACCTTAGTTTACCGCAAAATGCAAACAGCAAGAAAAGCGGACCAAAATAAATAAATGAATAAAACTTTGTTCGGAACTGAGAAGGAAGGAAAGAGGAAAAACTTGCGCCGGCCGGCTGCTACTGTTCCGTGGTCAAATGGAACTACTACTATTATTACACGGGGCCTTTTGTAGAGGGGGGATTGTTCATTATTGTTATGGATAAATAGGGACTGCTGACGTGGGGGACTGAGAGCTATGTTTTGTTGCCGCGTACGGCTTTGTCAGTCTATTGCCTGTTGCTTTGCTTTTGCAACTAACCCACGTTTCCCACAAGTTGTTTTGCCTTTTTTTTTTTTGGGTAAAGTACATAAAACCCCCCTGTGGTTAAGGAAATTGACACGAAATCTCCTTATTGTTTAGAAACTCCCACTTAACCCCCCTATGCTTTGGACTTATTTGGCTTTTACCTGCTAACCGACTGAGGAGCCGGTAATAATATGAAATACCAAAAATACCCTCATATATAATATGTGAAAAGTTACGGATGCAATGAGTCAATTTGAGAAATTGCATCTTGAATAGGCATCCCTCCATCATGGGCTGAGCATCGTCCCTTCCTTTCCTAGCGGCAGGATCTCTTTGTTCTTCGCATTCGCTGGAGTAGCATTCCGCATCCCAAAACATTCTTCGCTAGCAAGCGTTGTCCACAAAAGCAGCACCAACTCCAAAGTCGGCATTCCTTCTTCCTGTTCCTGAGGAAAAACCCATCTTCAATGCACACCGTCTGCTTCTCGCCTGATTCTCTAGATCGTTCCCGGGACCAGCAACAACGAACGAAAGCCCAAAGAAAATCCTTACCAGTGTAAACAGCCCTAATTCAGGGCGCGTAGATCAATGCCAAAGTAAGCTAAAGCTTCGTCTTTTCCGTTCTGGGTACAGAATCTCAGGGATTGGCTCAGAAGCCGCAGGCGCTTTTTCTGATTGGTTTGTTGCTTTGCTTGCTCCCTTCTCTTGCTTACACATTCTGTAGCTTTTTTTGTTTTTCAAGGCTTTGATTGCCTGTTTGATTAGGCCTAGATCTGGCTGAAACCTTTTCAAAAGGAGTCGAATCAGTCTGGCGACTTCCTCAATTGCTAACCAACTAAACCCAGAAGAGATGCCATTGTGGATGGAAAGGCTAACTACGCAGCTATGCGACAGAAAGATGGGCGAAGTGGATCAAAAAGGTAGATTTGTGGCCCTTGAGAACTGCCTTTGGGGATTGAGCAAGCCAGGGATTAAGAGCGTATGTTAGGTAGTTCAGATTTGTAGCAAGTAGTGCCCATGAATCTGAGTTCGGAGTGAGCTGGAGATGCTCCCTTTTCTCTATGAATTGCGAGTCACTCAAGAAGCAGTGCCCAACCTAGGACTACTATGAACCATTGCTTGCTTCCCGCCTAGCAATCCTGGTAATTGGAACGAAGCTATAGCCCTTTCTTTCATTCTCTTTCGAAATTAGGTATGAAAGGCTCTATTGCTTTCCCATTGAAGAAGGGTTAGGCTGACCTGGAATCCAATTGAATAGAGGTTGGGTCTTCGATTTGCATCTCTGTCAAAATTTTTCATTTGCAGATCTACAACTATGGTGGGTGCAAGCTTGGAAGAGACATAGAGGACAAAATTGGAATGAAATGAGTTTCTGCTAGACACAAGTTACCATTAAGTCGCGTAAATATCACTCGCTAGCTCCCCAGCCGGTTAGCAGGTAAAATCCAAACAAGTCCAAAGCACAGGGGGGTTAAGTGGGAGTTTCTAAACAATGAGGAGGTTTCGTGTCAATTTCCTTAACCACAGGGGGGTTTTATGTACTTTACCCTTTTTTTTTTATTGGTACGAAATATAGTACTAGTAAATACTAAATACTACCAAAAAGCGTTTAAAAATGGATTCACAGAAATAATTTTTTTTTTTTAAAAAAATGACCAATTCATACAAGTTCAAAATCTTTTCATTTTTCAACACTTGACTATATGCACTAAAATTATTTTAAATACATGTCACGTGTGTAAAATTTAGAGTTAAATTTCAAAATTAAAATGACATGATATGCATCCAAATTCGTATATTATCAATGTCGATAAAATCTATCTAACCAAAAAAAAAAGAGCAAAGAGTATCATTTTTCTAGATGTTGGGCGGTCAATTGCAAAAGGATACATATTTCTTGAGGTTGGGTGCCATAAAATAAAATTCCAAGTGGTGTAATTGGATGATCACATATTCCAATTCGATCTCAAATTCAAGCATGGATAATGCTATTTGAATTCAAGCGAGTAACGATACTTGAACTCGAACTCGAACTCGACTCATGCGAGTAGTATACAAACTTAAACTCCCCTCAAATTAACTTGAAAATCCCGTCAAGTCTTGTCGAGTTCGAACCACCCAAATCCAAGCTTGAAATCGAGCTCAAAGCCTGATTTTTATATTCAATTTCCATTCCTAATTTTCCATTCAACTCAGCTCAAGACGTGCATTGAGGATGGTCATTTCGGCTCGAGTACCTCCCGAAGTGCCACCTCGGCAAGACCTGTTGGTTTGGAACCCACCTCATTACCACTCCGGCTAAGATCATTAGCCGAAGTGATGCTTGATTATTTGATAACTGCAGAAAGGTACGATGTGACTCCTGACACATCTGACACCTGGAAAGGCTGCTCTGATACGCCGTCTGAACCTGACAGATGTCCCCTCACATCTCATAAAGATTGGTCAAGTCTACCGGATGCACTGACCATCTCAGATCTTTAGGGACTCGTGCCGACAGTCCCTCTCTCCTATCCTTCCTCTATAAATTCTCAACATTTCTATTGAGAAAGGGATGATGACCAATTCTCTGGTAACATACTCCTCCCTTCAATTATACTACCTCCTTACAACCGAACTAACTTGAGCTTCGGAGTTATATTAGGGGATTCAGCCCCTCTTATTACCCAAGCAGGTGACCACGTCCAAGAGAGCTGCCCAAGATAAAAATACTTCTCCAGTTTGGGTGACTTACTCCAGCGGGACGGAAATCACCTCTTCAATTGGCGCCGTCTGTGGGAACGCAAAGACATCAGAGTATGAAGCCTACGCGTTCTAAGAGCAGAAAAGCTCTCACTATTGGGGCTGAGCAAAGTAATGCAGCCCAACAAGAAGGTATATCTGAAGGGCAGGGGTCTCCAAGGACCCAGCCCGCAAACGAAGAAGCCATCTCTCGTATGGCCGAGTTTGTTACTGACAATCCCAACATCTTCGAGGAATTAGGGAGATACCTGAAGAGGCAAGGCAAGCAAAAAGCCGAATCCTCTAAGAGGAAGTCAGATGGGTCTCCTGAAGACTCGTCCGAAAAGGAGTCTGATGGAAGGCGCCTAAGCCGAAGTGCCTCGAAACGGGCATTCTCCAAGGCCACCTCTAAGGTAGCCTCAATGACCAAGGCATTCTCCCGGGGACTCTTGGGGCGACGACCTGAGGAGGAACCTCGGCCCCTGGGGATACCCGGGGTGAATTACATGAGGGCTCCACCTTTCACCGACGATATCAATGAGGAGAGGCTCCCTCCCAACTTCAAGCTTCCCTCAATTCCATCCTATGATGGTCGGGGTGATCTGGAGGACCATATCCACGCCTTCATCTCGGCCTTTCGCTTATACTGCATCCCTGACCCCGTCATATGCCGAGCCTTCCCAGTATTCCTCCAGGGGACAGCTCGAAAATGGTTCTGGGGGTTAGAACCTAGGAGCATCTCAACCCTGGGATGACTGGTAGAAAGATTTCTCCACAGGTTCATTCCATCCCGACCTACGACCCGAACCTCGGCCTACCTGCTGAACATGCAGCAAAACCCGGGTGAGTCACTTCGGTCGTATGTTCAGAGGTTCCATGAAGAGAGCGTGCAGATACCTGATCCCAATGAGCAGGTCACCATCGCCGCTTTCACCCATGGGCTCGTTTCCGGGGTGTTCAACACAGGAATCCACAAAAAATATCCCCGCACTCTCCATGAACTATGGTTAAAGGTCGAGAAGGGCATACAGGCCGAGGAGCTCAACCGCATGAAAAAAGAAGTCCAAGCTGCTCGCCCGAGGGCTGACGCCCGAAGAGGGAAGGAGCCTAGCCGAAGTGAAGCGGGGACAGGAAGCGGCTTCCAAAGTCCCGGCTGAGATCGCAGGAGTATGTTCGACAGGATCTCAAAAGGAAAGTCACCCATTCCTGAATCCGAACTAACTCCTTTGAACACTAGCCGGTCTCGGGTGCTATCCGTAATGGAACAAAATAACCTTGGAAAGGCACCCCCCAAGATGCAGGGCAGCAGGGACAAGAGGAACTCGACCCTCTATTACTTATATCACGAGATATAGGACATGAAACCGAGGACTGTAACGACCTCAAGAGAGAGATCGAGAACCTCATTAGACAAGGCCACCTCAAGCAGTTTATCCGCCGAAGTGGAGGTCATCCGCGCGATGAGAATCGACGTGATAAGCGAGGTGATCAACCCCAAGATGAGAGGCGGGTATCGAGAACTAGTTGCCGACCTCCTGAGAATCCTAGGGAGTCGAAGAGGCCACCCGGAGACGGATCCTCAGGTCAAGGATTAGGATATGAACCAAATATTGCCGGAGTCATCAACACCATTGCTGGATGTCCGACGGGAGGAGATAGTCAAAACTCCCGGAAGAGGACCTACAGACAAGCCAACCCGGATCAGGCTGAGTCGAGTTCTCGCCTCTCTGAGGTGATCACTTACGGGCCCAGTGACCCCGTCCCAGCTGCCTCCAGCAGTCATGAAGCATTGGTGATTGAAGTCCTCACCAATAACTACATCGTGAAAAAGGTCTACATTTACCCGGGGAGTTCAGTTGACGTCATGTACCTTCGTACTTTTGATAGCCTTAAACTGGCCATGGTGAGAACTCCTCTTGTCGGGTTCGGGGGACACATTGTGCATCTCGAAGGGATGGTGACTTTGACAGTGACTGTAGGGCGTCACCTCCGCTGCAGAACCATCCCCGTCAACTTCGTGGTGGTCAAGGCTGACTCCCCATACAACTTACTCCTAGGCCGACCTACACTTAATGCTTTACGGGCAGTATACTCCACCTATCACCTAAGCTTTAAGTTTCCTACTCCAGAGGGGGTAGCCGAGGTCAGCAGCGACGTCTGCGCTGCCCGGGAGTGTTACCCCGCCACTCTACAAGCAGCCTCCCCGTCCACCTCCGGAGCAAGGCCCGAGAGGAGGTCAAATATCCTCTCTATAGATAGCATCGATCCTCAACGAGCTGAGAAGATCCCGAGGCTGGAGACTGGGGATGAGGTGGAAGAATTCCCTCTGGACCCCACGAAGCCTGATCAAACGATTCGCGTCGGTACCCGATTGCCCAGTCCTATCAAAAGAGGTATGGTGAGCCTTCTCAGAGAATACCGGGACGTCTTTGCTTGGGCCGCAGAGGAGGTTCAAGGGGTCCCGCATCACCTCATGATACATGAGTTGAACGTCGACCCCCAAATCCGCCCGGTCAAGCAGAAAAGAAGGCACCTCGGCCCTGAGCGTAGCCGAGCTGTTGGCGAAGAGGTGGACAAGCTCCTCCCTGCAAAGATCATCCGGGAGGTCCAATATCCTACTTGGTTATCCAACCCGGTTATGGTAAAGAAGGACACGGGGGCTTGGAGAATGTGCGTCGACTTTACCGATCTCAACAAAGCTTGTCCCAAGGACTGCTACCCATTGCCCAAGATTGATACCCTGGTGGATTCAGCAATGGGCTATGAAGTCCTCTGCTTCTTTGATGCCTTCAAGGGGTATCACCAGATCGGGATGAGACCGGAAGACCAGGAGAAGACCGCCTTCTACACTGACCGAGGCACGTATTGTTACACCACTATGCCTTTCGGATTGAAGAACGCCGGGGCCACATACCAACGCTTGGTTAACCAAGCCTTTAAGTCTCAGATCGGCCGGATGGTTGAGGCCTATGTAGATGATATCCTCCTCAAAAGTCGGACAACCTCCACATTCCTTGCCGACCTGAAGGAAGTCCTGGAAGTCTTTCGGAAGACGCGAATAATGCTAAACCCTAAGAAGTGTGTCCTGGGGGTCACTTCGGGGAAGTTTTTGGGTTACCTCGTCTCCAGGCGAGGTATTGAAGCAAATCCAGACAAGGTGAAAGCAATTCAAGAGATGTCTTCACCTCGGTGCGTCCGCGATGTCCAAAGGTTGACGGGGCGGTTGGCCGCCCTGAATCGATTCCTATCGCATTCAGCCTCCAAGGCATTGCCGTTTTTTAAAGTCCTTAAAAAGGCCAACAACTTCTCCTGGACCGAAGAGTGTCAACAGGCGTTTGAGCAGCTAAAGGAGTACCTCAACCACCTCCCAACACTCACTTCACCTCGCCCAGGGGACAAGTTAATCTTGTACCTATCTGCTGCCGCTGAAGCTGTAAGTGCCGTACTAATAAGGGAGGAAGGTGTCCAAACACCTGTTTACTATGTCAGCCGAGTCCTCCGAGGTCCGGAGACCAGGTACACTCAGGCGGAGAAACTTGTGCTAGCCTTAATTCATGCAGCTCATAGGCTTAAGCCCTACTTTTTGGCCCATCACGTCTGCCTGAGGACAGACCAACCACTTCGGCAGGTCCTATCGCGACCGGAGGCCTCTGGACGCCTCACCAAGTGGGCCATCGAGCTGGGAGAGTACGATTTATCTTATGAGCCTCGCACGGCCATTAAAGCCCAGGCTCTCGCGGATTTTCTTGCCGAACTTACTTTTGAGGAAGCGAATGAGATCATCCCGGTTATTACCCAGGCTGTCACCTCGTCCACCGCCGAGCCTCAACAATGGACCTTGCATGTAGATGGCTCATCCAATAGTGAGGGTAGTGGAGCTGGTTTGCTCCTCGAAGATCCCCAAGGAGAAATTTGCTCGTATGCCTTGAGGTTTGATTTTGCTGCTTCCAACAATGAGGCCGAATACGAAGCAGTCATCGCCGGCCTGCAGTTAGCTCGTAAGCTCGGGGCCGCGCATATTATGGTCTATAGCGATTCTCAACTCGTTGTATGCCAATTACTAGGCGAATACGAGGCCAGGGAAGAGGTGATGCATCGATACCTCTCCAAGGTCCTCCAGCTAGTGGCACACTTCCAGTCTTTTGAAATCCAGAGGATACCACGGTCACAGAACAGGAGAGCTGATGCCCTCTCCCGGCTCGCTTCTACCTCTTTTTCTGACCTGAACAAAACGGTCATTGTAGAAGTTTTAGCCGCACCGGGGTACGAAGGGGAAGAGGTGTATCCCATCTACCCTGGGGATACCTGGATGGGACCGTTAGTTCGATTCCTCAGCCGAGGTGAACTCCCCGAAGACCGAGCTGAGTCACGCAAACTTCAGCGTAAAGCATCTCGGTACGCCCTTCAACAGGGCCTCTTGTACAAGATGTCCTACCTCGGCCCATGGCTACGATGTATCACCCCAGAAGAAGGCGACAGAATTCTTCAGGACATTCACGAGGGACTCTGTGGTGCCCACGTCGGTTTCAGGATGCTCGTGAAAAAGGCTTTGCTGCTTGGATACTTTTGGCCCACCATGAGGGTAGATGCCCAGGTCATGGTCCTTTGCTGCCCTTCTTGTCAGCACCATGCCCCTGAGCACCATGCCCCTGAGCACCACCGACCAACCAATCTTATGATTCCTATCACCTCGCCGTGGCCCTTCGAGCAGTGGGGAACCGACATAATCGGCCCATTTCCAAGGGCTCCAGGTGGTTATACTTACGTGGTGGTAGCAGTGGACTACTTCACCAAATGGGTTGAAGCGGAGCCCCTGAGAAGCATCACCGGAATGGCCGTTCAAAAATTTTTCTAGAAAAATGTGGTTTGTTGTTTCGGCTTGCCCCGGGTGGTCATCTCGGATAATGGCAGACAGTTCGCGGACAATCCTTTCAAGACGTGGTGTGAACACTTGGGAATTAAACAGCACTTCACCTCGGTGGGACACCCTCAGGCAAATGGACAAGCTGAAAACTTCAACCGAACTCTCCTCCATGGCCTCAAGACCAGGCTTTACCGGGCTGGATCGTCATGGATGGAAGAGCTCCCAAGCGTGCTGTGGTCCTACCGAACCACGCCGAGCTCAGCGACTCAAGAAACACCGTTCTCTCTAACTTATGGATCCGAGGCTGTCGTTCCAGCCGAATTCATCACCCCCAGCAGCGAATGGCCGCGTACGCTGCCGATGTCAATGAAGAGGAGCGACGGGTTGATCTCGACCTTGCCGAGGAGAAGCGCGATATGGCTGCGGCCAAAGTTGCTATTTATAAAAATATCCTAGCTGGTTATTACAATGCCCGGGTCAAACACCTAAGGTTCAGTCCAGGAGACTTGGTACTCCGGAAGAATTCGGTTAGCCGAGTTGAACCCCAGGGAAAACTTAACCCCAAGTGGGAGGGACCCTACCGTGTTATTGAATCCAGCCAAAATGGATATTGTAAACTGGCTTACCGAGATGGTTCGCGTGTGCCCCGAACTTGTCATGCTGAGAACCTTAAGTTGTATTACCCTTGAAGGGTACGTGTTCTTAAATTCCACTTCTTTAAGTTATTTCTCACTCGTTCTTATTTCATTACAAGTGACAAATAAGGGGACAAAGCAGTAGTTAAAAGGAAAAAACTGAACTCAATCGAAAAGGAGAGAAAATATGCAAAACCCAACTTTATTGAAGCATGAAAAGCAAAAGGTCGGGGCCATAATTACAAAAGTGAAATGCCGATGACCTCGGCCATCTATTACAAAACATGAGTGCTTCTAAGCACCTCCTGCCCTGGGGTCCTGTCCCCCCAGGGTCTCGCCGCCTGCCTCGGCATCCTGCTGTCCGGCATTCTGCTGTTCTTCCTCTCCTCCACCAGCCTGGTCCCCTTCGGCACTGTCACCATCCAACTCGAACTCCTGGAGCCACTTGTTGAATTCAGCTCGGACCTCAGCCAGGTCCTTTCCAGTCCGGATGCCCTCACCCACGCGGTCGCATAATTCCTTAGCATCCTCATTGTAGTGTGAAGCACTCTGGAAGGACTCCAGCTGCTCAGGGAGAAGAAAGGGTGCCGCATCATTAATGGCCGACGTATACCCGAACATGAAGCTCGGCCGAGTGAGTTCACCGAGGTCGCGAATGAAAGACTCCGACTTCCGGAATGCTTCCACAGCGGTGGCCCCGGCTGTGTCTATGGCCACTTTGGATGATTGCTCTTCCTGAGCTCTCTTCTCCCTCTCCTCATCAAGAGCAGTTATGAGGGAGTTGTTCGAGACCTCAGTCTTCTTCTTCGCCGCCTCAGCCTTGTCACGTGCCAGCTCGGCGGCCTTTAGTTTCCCTTCCAGATCGGCGATCTTCTTCTGGAGCTCGGAAGGTGATTCATAAGTCTCTACGAAATCGCCGAAGCGTTGGTACATCTCGGCAAGAAACGCCGTGGTGGAAGCCCAGGAGACCGAGGCACCCTGCATCAGTTCGGCCGGATTGAGTTTTCTAGTGTAAGTGTTGTCCTGTGGCAGGACTGAATTCACCAGGAGCTCGTGCGCGACCTGGGGATTCTTGCAGCGGTCATTGACATTGACCGACCACTCCGGGCAAAATTGTGCTCCGGAGTGCCTCTTGTCCTCCCCGGCTGCTAGAGAGGGCACGTGGTGGAGGTTCAATAATGAGTTCCCCGAGATAGCGTCACCCTGGACAACGGTCGCACCTCGACCCCGGCCCCGAGGTTGAGAGGCTATGGTTACTCCATGGGATGGAACTCCCACTGGAATGGACGCTTTGGATCTTCCCGGCGTGCCCGAGGTATGCGACCCCTCGCCTATAATCACCACGACAGGTTCGCGAGTGCCTGCCGCGGCAGTGGTCTTCTTAGCCGGCCTGGAAGAGGACTCACCGGCGTCCTTGCGCTTTTTTGCTGGCCTCTTTGCCACCTCGACCTCTCCCGAGGTAATCAGGTCGGAAACCTTCATTACTGCAAAGTACGAAATGAAGTTAGTTAGAATTCAAGGAAAACAAACAAGAAAGTGAGAAGTGGAAAAGTACGAGGTATGTGAAGCCTAGTGAAGACGAGGACGGGAAAGTCCGAGCTGATCGAGGCTCGGCTGAGCTCGCCCTTCACGAGCACTCTTTCAGGGAAGTCCCAATAGTTAATCTTCAGGCCCGACCCCGTCAATTTTTGGAAGTTGCGTTCTTCCAATTTGCCCGGGGAGGTTTTTTTGACCGAAGTGGGAGGTCTCCACCAGAATCCCCTGGGGAAGTCCTCAGCCGGGACGAAGAAAAAGTTCCTCTTCCACTCCTTTATTGAGCTCGGGGCATCATATACCAATCTTGGAACCTTGTTCCCGCAGTAGAACCACCCCTTCTCGCTCCCACTGTTCTTAAGTGAATAACAACGGCGGAAGAGGTTGACATTCGGCTCTATCTCTTGATGTCGGCAGAGTAGCTGGAAGCCGACGAGGATGCGAATTGCATTTGGAGTGAGCTGAGTAATCCTCACCCCCCAATACCTCAGGCAGTGCCTAAGAAACCTCGTAGTTGGCACCATGAGTCCGGCCTCCAGCTGTTCTATGTAGATGGCTACCCTACCCTTTGGAGGCAGGGCGGCGGATTGATGTGGGCGCGGAAGGTAGATACTGTAATCCCTCCTCCACGGATACTTGCGGACCACATCGGCTATGGAAGCTTGGTCCACCGCACTGATGAAGGCCGGCATCTGACCATAGTTTAGCGTGGCCACGTGTGGAGGAGTGGAGGGCTCTTGTACACCCACGTCCATTGGAACTTCATTCCCGAGGTGATCATTGTACAAGACCTCGGGCTCGACCTCAATCTCTTCGGCCTGCTCTTCCAAAGACTCAGCTCGGCGGGATGCCTCCGCATCTCCTCCCCGGGCTCGATCAGACGCTTCCCCACCTCCTTCCTCGGCGTTAGAGGCCGTTCTCTCCTCGGAAGGGTCGGGCCTCTCTGCCTCGGTGAAGTCAGGCCTCACCGTCTCTTTGTGTGTGCGAGCTGTTCTAGCCATTAATACAGAAAGAAGAAGTGAACTTACTTAGAAGATGCGAAGTGAAAAAGTTGCTGAAGAAGATGTAGGTTGGAAAGATTGCCGAAGTGAAAAAGCAAATGGACAGAGCTCTGAGATGATTTCAAATTTTGGTAAAGAATGGAACGGTGAAAAGAAACCCCTATTTATAGGCAACAAGGGGGGAACCGAAGAGATGCGATCTTTGGGATTCCCTAAAGCTCTCTCTCTCCCCTCATTAATGAAGGTGCTGTTCACCTGACAATCGATCGTATTGATTCGACGTTAAAGCTGCCAGCCCCCGTTTCACCTTCCCCTAGTCACATCTACACAGTCGTGACGTGTCCTTGCATTGTTCCGTGTTCTACACGCGCGTCAGCTTCGGGAAACGACGACCTCGGGAGGCCCCGACCTCGCTCTTCTTGAAGCTTGGGGGGCTTAGTGAGGATGGTCATTTCGGCTCGAGTGCCTCCCGAAGTGCCACCTCGGCAAGACTTGTTGGTTTGGAACCCACCTCATTACCACTCCGGCTAAGATCATTAGCCGAAGTGATGCTTGATTATTTGATAACTGCAGAAAGGTACGATGTGACTCCTGACACATCTGACACCTGGGAAGGCTGCTCTGATACGCCGCCTGAACCTGACAGATGTCCCCTCACATCTCATAAAGATCGGTCAAGTCTACCGGATGCACTGACCATCTCAGATCTTTAGGGACTCGTGCCGACAGTCCCTCTCTCCTATCCTTCCTCTATAAATTCTCAACATTTCTATTGAGAAAGGGATGATGACCAATTCTCTGGTAACATACTCCTCCCTTCAATTATACTACCTCCTTACAACCGAACTAACTTGAGCTTCGGAGTTATATCAGGGGATTCAGCCCCTCTTATTACCCAAGCAGGTGACCACGTCCAAGAGAGCTGCCCAAGATAAAAATACTTCTCCAGTTTGGGTGACTTACTCCAGCGGGACAGAAATCACCTCTTCATGCATCAATAGCAACAACTCAGAAATCAGCCCCATCACCTCCAACATTTACGTACGTTTTCCTCAACATCAATATCAACTAAAGAAATAACCCAAAAAAGAAAGAAAAGCTCACAAAATCACCCAAAGTACTGAAAAATCGAGTTCTGCAGTTAGGGCGCTCCGGTCGTGAGATTCTCACGGCTCTAGAATAACTTGAAGTTCCACTACTACTTACTGTATACTAGCTATATATTTTTTGTTACACTACTCATTAGTCACAACAACTGATGCTGCCCTAAACGTTGAATCTGGCGGGATCCATGAGACTGAATCCCGATGTATTTTGTTAAGGCACGAATTTAGCAAGTTTCATTCCGGCTTTTATCATTTTGCTAGGACCCATGAATAAAGTCCGATCGAGGCACGCTTCGCTCGTGGTTTCGGGGCTTGAGTGATGATATTTTATTCTGGCAAATACGGATGACACGATTGGCCTGCAATTTTGTTTCTAACGACTAAGGTTCATTCTAGCAAAACCGCATCATGAATCACTAACTTGGAAGGTGCAACTGGGCCGCCACTGTTGTAACCTCAAACTTCAAAATCTCGGTCCGCCTAATCAATTTGAGCACTTGATGAAACAAACCCACCCACCCCCACCCTCGCTCACCCAGTCCAACAAAAATTAGGGGTAGCAATTGGATAAAAAAAGAGTCGGCGGATCGGATTGAGACCCGAATAAAACTAATAACCTGCTGATTCGAACACGATCCACCAACTCTAAACGGGTCAGATATCTGACCCGAATCTAAAAATTTCGGATTGGCGGGTCAATCCAAATGCCTTGAAAT